CCTCTCCAGGGCACAAAGCCAGGGTAGGTTGATATGGAGGAGAAGCTGTTACCCATGCAGCAGGTCCCCCCCTCCTCCCCTCTCCAGGGCACAAAGCCAGGGTAGGTTGATACGGGGGAGAAGCTGTTACCCATGCAGCAGGTACTCCCCTCTCAAGGGCGCAAAGCCAGGGGTAGGTTGGTACGGGGGAGAAGCTGTTACCCATGCCGCAGGTTTCCCCTCCCACCCCCACACATATCAATGCCAAAATATACTTAGTTCCTCCTCTTGTAACATTGGCAGCTCTTCCACCCATAGAAGCTGGTTCTGAGTTCCTAGCAAATTTCTTTATTATTTTCTGTAAATTTGCTGCCTCTTTTTCACAAGCTAGTCACTCGACCGTTTCCCCGTTATTTTTCCTTACATGATTATGTTATGTTAGCAGTGTTTGGTTGTTTCTTTGTTTTAGAAGCAATATCATTTAGATGCACTTTTCATTTTCCCTGTTGCATCTATTCTGGTTTTCTTGTTCTCTCACCTCTTGATTTCTTAAGAGTCCCTCCTGCTTTTCCGTTTTAGCTTCTTAGCGCCGTTTATCAAACCATGTGTTATTGTATTCATTCTTACGTTCTGTTCTTATTGTTGGGATGAAACTTTCTTCCGCCTCTTTGCATCTCAGTTTGCCTCGGTCCATCCATCCCGTCCTCCTAAGGTTTCCCAAACGTCAAGAAACTGCCGTACTAAAGTGCACTTATCCTAACCTACCAGAGGACCCAAAACAGAAAACGAGACAGTGTGTCATTTCCACGAGCCGCTTCCATTTTCTAGTACGACGGTTTTTGACCTTAGGTGGAGTATACGTCAAAATGCGACGTTCTAGTGGAAGGAAAGATTGGTCCATAATATATAATACAGGTTTGACTCCATATTGATGAAAGTAGAAGGGTGTAGGAGTGTGTGTGTGTGTGTGTGGGTGTGTGTGTGTGTGTGTGTGTGTGTGTGTGTGTGTGTGTGTGTGTACTCACCTATTTGTGCTTGCAAGATCGAGCATTGACTCTTGGATCCCGCCTTTCCAGCTATCGGTTGTTTACAGCAATGACTCCTGTCCCATTTCCCTATCATACCTAGTTTTAAAAGTATGAATAGTATTTGCTTCCACAACCTGTTCCCCAAGTGCATTCCATTTTTCCACTACTCTCACGCTAAAAGAAAACTTCCTAACATCTCTGTGACTCATCTGAGTTTCCAGTTTCCACCCATGTCCCCTCGTTCTGTTATTATTACGTGTGAACATTTCATCTATTTCCACTTTGTCAATTCCCCTGAGTATTTTATATGTCCCTATCATATCTCCTCTCTCCCTTCTTTTCTCTAGTGTCGTAAGGTTCAGTTCCTTCAGACGCTCTTCATATCCCATCCCTCGTAACTCTGGGACAAGCCTCGTCGCAAACCTCTGAACCTTCTCCAGTTTCTTTGTGTTTCTTCAGGTGGGGGCTCCATGATGGCGCGGCATACTCTAAGACGGGTCTCATATAGGCAGTGTAAAGCGCCCTAAAAGCCTCCTCATTTAGGTTTCTGAATGAAGTTCTAATTTTCGCCAGTGTAGAGTACGCTGCTGTCGTTATCCTGTTTATATGTGCCTCAGGAGTTTGTGTGTGTGTGTGTGTGTGTGTGTGTGTGTGTGTGTGTGTGTGTGTGTGTGTGTGTGTGTGTGTGTGTGTGTGTGTGTGTGTGGTGGATGACACCAGGTTGTGGGTCACTGGCTACCAGCCAAGTAGGGTTACAGCTCCACCCAGCACCACCCAGCACCACCCAGCACCACCCAGCACCACCCACCATCACCCAGCACCACCCAGCACCACCCACCATCACCCAGCACCACCCAGCACCACCCACCATCACCCAGCACCACCCAGCACCACCCACCATCACCCAGCACCACCCAGCACCACCCACCATCACCCAGCAACACCCAGCACCACCCACCATCACCCAGCACCACCCAGCACCACCCACCATCACCCAGCACCACCCACCACCACCCACCATCACCCAGCACCACCAATCTCCCCCTCACCATTATATGCTTCCCAGTCCTATAAAATAGGATGAGGGAGCAGCCCATACAAAGGCCAGGATTCACCAAGCATTTACACAACATCTTACGAAACATTTACATCTTTTGTTAATCATTTCGGCTGTGTTTACACTTATTTAAAAAAAAAAGTTACGTTCTGAAGCACTACGATGGTGTTGTAAACAACATCTTGGGTTGTGAAGCTTTGGAGCTTATAAAGTGTTTAATAAACGTAAACAAAGCCGCCATGATTGTGGAAAGATGAACAGGTTTGTCCTAATTCTTAGACTTTGACTAACGGTCCAAGCCTCAGACTTTCCTTTTCTATCCTAGAACCTCAAGACTTTTACTTCTTTTCACAGAGGTTCTGTCTCCTATTTCTATGACTTTCCAGTGAAATGTTCAAAATCAGAATGAACAAGTTTCTTCAAACTAAGTCTTAAGACTTTTCTACCTAAACCAAAAACTCAAGTTACTTCTGATGCCATATTTTGTCCAGCTACAAAAAAAAAAAAAGTTTCCTTCAATCCCCGACCTTCCACCAAGTGGCTGGACCATTCCTTTCCCCCCGTCCCATCCCAAATCCTTATCCTGACCCCAGTGCTATATAGTCATAATAGCTTGGCACTTTCCCTTTGATAGTTCCCTTCCCTTCCGCCTGTCCTCCCATTTAACGCTAGTCATCTCAATGTGACCGTAAAAGCACCGTAAAGTAGACGCTTCCCGGAACAAATGAGCATCGACAGTAAAGATGGACTGCGTACAGATACGCACGTTTTTTAGTTAGACAAAAACCACTTCACATATAACGTTTCTGTCAGCTCGCGAGAGACTGACGCCGGAGCCCATATCATCATAGACAATTACTACGGTAAAACTTACCGTTTTAAACTACCAAAATAGTCAACCGTTCCACTGTCAACACAATTGCTAAGGATGTTCCCAGAATTCAAATGTCTCAATCCAACGTGTGACTTTGGCTTCTGCTCCCACCCATAAACACTCTTGCCTTCCACCAAGCCTCAAACACAATAACTAACACCAATAAAAACATTTATATACATGTATAATTAACCTTAAGCACCTTCTATGTATATTATTTACCTTAAACACCTTCTATGTATATATATTTAAGTGTATAAACTCCAATGAATGCAAGAATACATGTTAAATCTAAAATAATATATCTAAATAGTTGTAAATAAAAAAATTGTTTTGTAAATATATTAATCAAATAAACCTCTATAGTCTGTACTAATACCTTAAACAAAATATTAAATGTAAATAAATAATAATTAAACTATTAAATAATCAGGGTTAAGATTCATTAAGCCCTTATGCAATCAAATACGAAACCTGTGCATCTTTCCTCAATCTTGGACGGCTTTGGTTACATTTATTAAACAGTTTATAAGCATGAAAACTTCCCATTCAACTGTTGATATTGTTATAAACAGCTTCCTGGTGCTTCGGAGCTCATTAACTGTTTAATAATTGTAAACAAAGCCGTCAAAGATTGAGAAAAGATGGACAGGTTCGTAATTGTTTGCGTAACTGCTTCGTGAATCTGGCCCCAGGTTCGTAAGTGCTTGCGGAACTGCTTCGTGAATCTGGCCCCAGGTTCGCAAGTGCTTGCGTAACTGCTTCGTGAATCTGGCCCCAGGTTCGTAAATGCTTGCGTAACTGCTTCGTAAATCTGGCCCAGGGTTCGTAAGTGCTTGCGTAACTGCTTCGTGAATCTGGTCCCAGATTCGTAAGTACTTGCGTACCTGCTTCGTGAGTCTGGCCCCAGGTTCGTAAGTGCTTGCGTAACTGCTTCGTGAATCAGGCCCCAGGTTTGTAAGTGCTTGCGTAACTGCTTCGTGAATCTGGTCCCAGGTTCGTAGGTGCTTGCGTAACTGCTTCGTGAATCTAGCCCCAGGTTCGTAAGTGCTTGCGTAACTGCCTCGTGAATCTGGCCCCAGGTTTGTAAGTGCTTGCGTAACTGCCTCGTGAATCTGGCCCCAGGTTCGTAAGTACTTGCGTAACTGCTTCGTGAGTCTGGCCCCAGGTTTGTAAGTGCTTGCGTAACTGCTTCGTAAATCTGGCCCTAGGTTCGTAAGTACTTGCGTAACTGCTTCGTGAACCTGGCCCCAGGTTCGTAAGTGCTTGCGGAACTGCTTCGTGAATCTGGCCCCAGGTTCGCAAGTGCTTGCGTAACTGTTTCGTGAATCTGGCCCCAGATTCGTAAGTACTTGCGTAACTGCTTCGTGAGTCTGGCCCCAGGTTCGTAAGTGTTTGCATAACTGCTTCGTGAATCAGGCCCCAGGTTTGTAAGTGCTTGCGTAACTGCTTCGTGAATCTGGCTCCAGGTTCGTAGGTGCTTGCGTAACTGCTTCGTGAATCTAGCCCCAGGTTCATAAGTGCTTGCGTAACTGCTTCGTGAATCTGGCCCCAGGTTCGCAAGTGCTTGCGTAACTGCCTCGTGAATCTGGCCCCAGGTTCGTAAGTGCTTGCGTAACTGCCTCATGAATCTGGCCCCAGATTCGTAAGTGCTTGCGTAACTGCCTCGTGAATCTGACCCCAGGTTCGTAAGTGCTTGCGTAACTGCTTCGTGAATCTGGCCCCAGGTTCGTAAGTGCTTGCGTAACTGCCTCATCAATCTGTCCCCAGGTTCGTAAGTGCTTGCGTAACTGCTTCGTGAATCTGGCCCCAGGTTCGTAAGTGCTTGCGTAACTGCCTCATGAATCTGGCCCCAGGTTCGTAAGTGCTTGCGTAACTGCTTCGTGAATCTGGCCCAGATTCGTAAGTGCTTGCGTAACTGCTTCGTGAATCTGACCCCAGGTTCGTAAGTGCTTGCGTAACTGCTTCGTGAACCTGGCCCCAGGTACTTTTGCTCCTCCCTTCCCTGCCTGTCAATGCATCTCATAATTAACCTCACTAACACGTTCTACACCCCAAACAGCAATCACTAACCTGAGCCAGCCGGCGTGTGAGTACGCCGGTAGGTGGTACGCCGAAGGAGAAGCCGTACCGACACAGGAGCCGTGCCTTAACTGCTCCTGCACGGGCGCCACCCTCGAATGCCGCCTGAGGGTATGCCCAACCGTGCCCGCCAGCCTGCCAGAAGGCTGCTACAAGCTGAAGAAGAAGGCGGAACAGTGTTGTGATCAAGTGGTTTGTGGTGAGAAGCAGCAGGCTTTGCTCACTTGTACAGGGTCTGTGAGGGTGCATGGGACAGGTGGGAGGTGATCTGGAGCAGGGTATGGAAAAGGGGCGTGAGGTGGTAGTGTACGTGGGTATGGGAGAGAAGTGGGGGTGATGGGAGGAAGAAATACAAACGTCTATTTAGGCAACACGTCCTCGACTAAAGGTCCATTCCATCCAGCGGTCGACCCCACAGACGCATTCAGACGCATTCAACACGGTGTTCATTCAAAACGGGAATTTTCTGAGATATAAATTAATATTATAATATGTTAGCATATTGTGTATATATAGGCATAGGTTAGGTGTTTAGGTTCTGTTGGCGATTATTTGTATTTGAAGTACATGGGTGAAGCATGTACAGCGTTGTGGTTCGAACAAAAGTCGTCAGTGAAGCACTTGTTCCGGAAGTGTTCGAACGTTCGAACTGTGTTCATCAGTTGTGCAGCCAACCCATCCTCGACTCAAGTCCATTACATCCAGCGGTCAACCCCACAGACGCATTCATAAATTTTAACATGCTGTTCATTCAAAACGGGAATTTTCTCAAGTATAAATTAATATTATAAGATATTAGCATATTGTGTATATATAGGCATAGGTTAGGTTAGGTCAGGTGTTTAGGTTCTGTTGGCGATTATTTGTATTTGTAGTACGTGGGTGAAGCATTTACAGCGTTGTGGTTCGAACAAAATTCGTCAGTGAAGCACTTGTTCCGGATATGTTCGAACGTCAACAGTTATGAGTCGTGTGTAAACCGCTTTTCATTCATAAACAGTGGGTTTGGCGGGTGCATGGAATCACTTTTGGATCTTTGTTTGGAGGACGGGCTGGTGCAGCAGTCCTCTAAACAAAGATCCAAAAGTGATTCCATGCACCCGCCAAACCCGCTTTTTATGAATGAAAAGCGGTTTACACGCGACTCACAATTGATGACGTTCGAACATATCCGGAACAAGTGCTTCACTGACGACTTTTGTTCGAACCACAACGCTATAAATGCTTCACCCACGTACTACAAATACAAATAATCGCCAACAGAACCTAAACACCTAATCTAACCTATGGATATATACACAATATGCTAATATATTATAATATTAATTTATACTTGAGAAAATTCCCGTTTGATTGAACAGCATGTTAAAATTTGTAAATGCGTCTGTGGGGTCGACCGCTGGATGTAATGGACTTGAGTCGAGGACGGGTTGAGTTGTGAGTCGTGTGTAAACAGTTTTTCATTCATAAACAGGGGGTTTGGCGGGTGGATGGAATGGACTTTGGGTCTATGTTTCGAGGACGGGCTGGGATAGAAGCCCCAAAACTTTACAATGAGTGTTTTTCCCACACAAATACATGACGAGAGTTGTATGAGGCAGCCAATAGCGGCCGACGGAGACCTCAACGCGGCAGTAAGCAGTTATCAAATCACTTTTTGCAATTCTCACCAGAAGGTTAGACATTGTTCTCAAGTTCCGGGGTGGGATTGGGTCAGGCAGGGAGAGGGGGGGGGACACCAGTACTAATGTTGGGGCAGAAGGTCACTGACAGGCACATCTCCGGTGCCAGGGGAGTGCCGGGCTCACCATACCCCGTGCTACTTGGAACTTTTTTGTTCCAAGCAGCTGAATCTAAGACAACAGGGTAGGAACCGTAGAGGAGAAACAGCTAGGGGCTACGCAAGAAGCCTTCCGGGCCGTAGGCACTGCACTCCCGCCTCATTTACTCACTATTTACTCATCACTCAAGGCATGAGCATGCACACACATCAGCCCCGCTCCTGTGCCAGGTAAGTCCACTACGGGCTCTCCATAGCCCGTGCTACTTAGAACTTTTTGTTCCCAATAGCTGAATCTTAAACAACAACAAGGCGTGAGTATGTGTACTTGGACAAGGCATGAGTATGTGTACTTGGACAAGGCATGAGTATGTGTACTTGGACAAGGCATGAGTATGTGTACTTGGACAAGGCATGAGTATGTGTACTTGGACAAGGCATGAGTATCTGTACTTGGACAAGGCATGAGTATGTGTACTTGGACAAGGCATGAGTATCTGTACTTGGACAAGGCATGAGTATCTGTACTTGGACAAGGCATGAGTATCTGTACTTGGACAAGGCATGAGTACTGAGTACTTGGAACTTGTTAAGAATAGCTGAATCTATAACAACAACAAACAGCATGAGTAACGGGCTACTCATGCCCGTGCCACCTCATGGGTGACTCATCGGGAAAAGTAAGAAAAGCTGTATAAAAAACAAATTGAAACTCACTACCATCAATCAGCGTCTTAAAGAAGGCAAAAAACAACATCTTGTCTACGAAAACACTGCATTCTAAAGATGCGCAAAGTGGGTGTGTAGTTTTGTAGTTATGTAGCCACACACACACACACACACACACACACACACACACACACACACACACACACACACACACACACACACACACACACAGGTGCACAGAGATATTAGAAAGAACTTTTTTAGCGTCAGAGTGGTTGACAAATGAAATGCATTAGGAGGTGATGTGGTGGAGGCTGACTCCATACACAGTTTCAAGTGTAGATATGACAGAGCCCGATAGGCTCAGGAATCTGTACACCTGTTGATTGACGGTTGAGAGGCGAGACTAAAGAGCCAGAGCTCAACCCCCACAAGCACAACTAGGTGAGTACACACCCACACACACACACACACACACACACACACACACACACACACACACACACACACACACACACACACACACACAGGTGCACAGAGATATTAGAAAGAACTTTTTTAGCGTCAGAGTGGTTGACAAATGAAATGCATTAGGAGGTGATGTGGTGGAGGCTGACTCCATACACAGTTTCAAGTGTAGATATGACAGAGCCCGATAGGCTCAGGAATCTGTACACCTGTTGATTGACGGTTGAGAGGTGAGACTAAAGAGCCAGAGCTCAACCCCCACAAGCACAACTAGGTGAGTACACACCCACACACACACACACACACACACACACACACACACACACACACACACACACACACACACACGTAATGAAATGCTTTAGGTGAGTACACGAGGAGTACACGCACAAGGGGACACAGGTTTAAGCATAAGACTAAACTGGAGAAGGTTCAAAGGTTTGCCACCTGACTAGTACCCAAGCTGAGAGGTATGAGCTACGAGGAGAGACTCCGGGAGTTAAACCTCACTTCGCTGGAAAACAGAAGAGTTAGGGGGGACAAGATCACCACATACAAGATTCTCAAAGGAATTGATAAGGTAAATAAGGGCATGCTATTTAACACCAGGGGCACACGCACTAGGGGACACAGGTGGAAATTGACTGCCCAAATGAGCCACACAGATATTAGAAGGAACTTTTTCAGTGTCAGAGTAGTTAACAGGTGGAATGCATTAGGCAGTGATGTGGTGGAGGCTGACTCCATACACAGTCTCAAATGTAGATATGATAGAGCCCAGTAGGCTCAGGAATCTGTGCATCAGATGATTGACAGTTGAGACGCAGGACCAAAGAGTCAGAGCTCAACCCCCGCAAGCACAACTAGGTGAGTATACACACACACGTCGTTCTGAAAGAATTGTGAGAAAATCCCAACATTCTTGCTGTCATTGATGATGAAGATAACAGCACACACACACACACACACAGGCCAAAACCGTCAGTAGTTTCAAAGCATTATATGACAAAGAGTACTGGGAAGACGGGACACCACGAGCGTAGCTCTCATCCTGTAACTACACTACTCTCTCTCTCTCTCTCTCTCTCTCTCTCTCTCTCTCTCTCTCTCTCTCTCTCTCTCTCTCTCTCTCTCTCTCTCTCTCTCTCTCTCTCACCCTAACACCCCCCCCCACACCCACAATCACACCTACCCTCCCACCCACCCACCCCACACCCAGCAACACCCACCCACCCCACACCCACACACACCCACCCACCCCACACCCAGCAACACCCACCCACCCCACACCCAGCAACACCCACCCACCCCACACCCAGCAACACCCACCCACCCCACACCCAGCAACACCCACCCACCCCACACCCAGCAACACCCACCCACCCCACACCCAGCAACACCCACCCACCCCACACCCAGAAACACCCACCCACCCCACACCCAGCAACACCCACCCACCCCACACCCAGCAACACCCACCCACCCCACACCCACACACACCCACCCACCCCACACCCAGCAACACCCACCCACCCCACACCCAGCAACACCCACCCACCCCACACCCAGCAACACCCACCCACCCCACACCCAGCAACACCCACCCACCCCACACCCACACACACCCACCCACCCCTCCCAGCAACACCCACCCACCCCACACCCAGCAACACCCACCCACCCCACACCCACACACACCCACCCACCCCACACCCAGCAACACCCACCCACCCCACACCCAGAAACACCCACCCACCCCACACCCAGCAACACCCACCCGCCCCACACCCAGCAACACCCACCCACCCCACACCCAGCAACACCACCCACCCCACACCCAGCAACACCCACCCACCCCACACCCAGTGTGGTAAAGGTAATACAATCAACACTAGGACCATCTTCCTCAAGTCCCAGGTACTTCCTTACCACCACAACGGCGTACACAGGTGCACGCTTTGTTCTATTAGAGTATGTCAAAGGTCGAGGACACATGGTAACGATGGAGGACACGTGACAAAGGTGGAAGACACATGGTAACGGTGTGGGTAACGGCAGAGACGACCCGGGCGGGGGAGGTCATTGTGACCTAAGAGGGTCAAGAAACAGCTACGGGGTCACCGCAGTAATATATCTAATAAACATCGTGATGACAATATATTTCCTCTGCTCTGAATGGCGTCGTGACGATATATTTCCTCTGCTCTGAATGGCGTCGTGACGATATATTTCCTCTGCTCTGAATGGCGTCGTGACGATATATTTCCTCTGCTCTGAATGGC